AATGTCCATATTGTCACTGAATCATACACCCCAAAATGATCAAAATGGGAAATTTTATGTTACGTATATTTTACCACAATAAAAAAAAAAGTAGGAACCTAAAAAAATTTATCATTTATAGCCCTGCCCTATTCTTCCAATCAAGCTAACAGTTTTGCGTGCAATGGCATATTTAATAAATGCTAAATTCCTGTTTTATTTCATTGAAAAAATTAAATCTCATACTTTAATATGGATGACCCTTGAAAGCATTGAGTAAAAGAAGCCAGTTACAAAAGACATATTGTATGATTCTATTTATATGAAATGTCCAGAATAGGCATTTTATAGAGCTATAGAAAGTAGTCTAGTGGTTGTTTAGGGCTCGGGGGAGGAATTGTGGAACGGGGGGGTAGGGGAGGTGGGACGGGGACAAACTGCCAATGAGTACAGGGTTTGTTTTGGAGGAATGAAAATATTCTAAAATTAGATTGTGGTGATGGTTGCACCATCCTATGAATATAGTAAAAAACATTTAATTGCATATCTTATCTTCAGATATCTTAGGTTACTTGAAAACAACATAACAATGTAAAATTTAGCATTTTAAATATGCATATACTTGCTAACAAAGCTATAGTCTGAGAGGGCTTTCTGATGGATAATTATCACTGTGCGTGCAGAGACATCTGAATGCAAGTATTAATATGTTTTATACACTCACACACTGAGTGACTTTGTTCGGCTGATAGTGTATATATCCAAAGCTAGATCAAATACGATGATTAATTTGATGACTACAGGGCAATAAAAAGGAAACAACATTAAAAAATAAAGTCCCCATCCAGAGGAATGCTTTTTTAAAATTAAGCCTGTTTTTATTCAATTCATTTGTTTTTTCCTTTGCTTTTTAAGTTTATAAAAAATTGCAAACCTTGAGATGATTACTGCTTTGTAACCAGAGAGCTCTATCTAAAAGCACCCGGTAGAAACACACCTGTTTTGGTGATCTGGTTAGCCATTCTCTGGTCTCCGCCTATAAAATAGTCACCATCTGTATTTTAAGCAGTCTTGACACATCAACCCTTAAATTATAAATGTCCTTATATTAAAATAGATACTATTTGCTTTTTAATTGCTACCAGAATTCCTTAACACACACACACACACACTCATCTCCTTAGTGTGTACACACATGCGTACTTGCCTGTGTACTCACACTGTCTCCCCCAGCTCAGAGCTCAAGTTGCTCATGGCTGCCATTCTCCTGTTAGCCACATTTGAAGTTAGTGTCCCTTTTTGTCTGGTTAACCTGGACCCTGTACATCATTTCCATAAGAAAAGCCACTGTGAATCCAATCTGAAGCTCCAACAGACTTTTATTTATTTTTTAATCCTCACCTGAGGATATTTTTCTGTTTATCCTCAGACAGAGTGGGAGGGCGAGAGAGAAACATCAACATGAGAGGGACACATCGGCTGGCTGCCTCCCGCATGACCCTGACCAGAGCTAAGGACGGACCGCAACCCAGGTACATGCCCTTGGCCGGAATTGAACCCGCAACTCTTTGGTTTGCGGACCGTTGCTCTACCGCTGAGCCAAACCAGCCAGGGCTCCAACAGACTTTTAGAAATAGAACCCATGGTCAGGCTACCTATCAAGTGTCTGAGTTTTGCTTATGTATCTCTTGACTTACATATTTACATACAATTTTTCGCTTCTTCCAAAAATCCAGGCAGGGTGATTACATGCTTATTTACCCACTTGACTACGCACTTGTTTACCAGCTTTCGCCAAATCGAACTATTACTAGTTGAATATTTGTCTTCCTGTCAAATAGCAAGTATAATTTAAATGTCTTCCTTTGTGTACTGATGTGGGTCTAACCCACATCTATGTGTATATGTTTGAGGGACCCTGCGCATAGCCCTAGCCATTGCAGACACCCAGAGAGGATGAAAACAGTCCCTGCCCAGAAGCTCTTCCCCCTGGGAAATGTGTTACCGTATTGCCATGTCGAACCGAGCAAGGGCTTTGGTCACTCCAGGAGCAGTTGCCCAGGACTCGTGGAGGAAAAAGCAGTCTCTTGCAAGAGAGAACCTGTAGCTAGAAGTTGAACCTTAAAAACAGAAGAATTTTAAAAGGTGAAGAGGTCAAGGGTTATCTTGAACCAACAGTGCTGAAAGAGAAAGGGATAGAAGGAAAAAACAAAACAAAACAAAAAATTTGTGTACTTTTTCTTTTCATGCACATTGTGTTCAGTCGTGGTTCTTTTCGTGGGCAAACTACAGACTTCAATGAAGGGCAAGTTTATTTTTATTTTCTGTTGTGGTGCCTACCATTATTCAGTTGCAAAGCTGTAGTATGAAGCTGAGGTAATTACTAGTGGGGGAGTCTTGTTTTGAAAGCCAAAAGGAAAACCCACCAAATGTATCCTCCTTGTTTGCTGTTAAGGTTTTAACGTGTAAATTGTCATACTGTAACAGGGCAGGCTTCATCTGGTGTAGCTCCTGTTTACAGCTCTAGGGCACCCCGAGTGCGCCTAGAGAAACCACACCACCCTTTCTGGTCAGGGTCATGTTTGCTGGGGACACCCTTCAGATTTATGTCATGTAAATCAATACAAACGACCTCTCCTTCACTTACTAGGTAAGGGAACTAGCTTATTGCAAAGCTGTTCTATTTAGTGGTGTGTCTCCATTAACTTGTATGAAAATGTGTTACCATGAACTGGAAATACTCTCCAAGGAATAAGAAGATTAGATCCTTTACAAATTGAGTGTTATTAGATCATTTACATAATAAGCACATCCTGGATTATTTTATTTTCACAATAGTCCAGTAGCCCTGAGCGGTGGGGTTCACCACTGTCGCCCTTTTTACAGATGAGAAAAGCAAGGCACAGAGATTGAGAGTGACACTTTATTTCACAAAGTCTATTATTTCTTAAGGTCATATTTTTACCACAGTAGACATGTTAAAAGTTAACTAAAGCTGAGCAGTCTGCCCCTTTAGAAAACGAAGATTTCTGTACATCTACTTCTTCCCCCCACACTTGGGGAGTCCTGATGTTCAGGCGTGAAAGTCCTGAAAGGCAGAGCAGCAGAGCAGGGGGCAGCGTGTGTTCTGTGGGGTCCATCATGGCCAGTCCCTGAGAGTCTTCTGACTCAATATGCAGCCAAGAATTGTAACAGTCTGGCCAGTGTGGCTCAGTGTTTGAGCATCAGCCCGTGCACCAGGAGGTCACAGGTTCGATTCCCGGTCAGGGCACCTGCCCAGGTTGTGGGCCTGATCCCCAGTGGGGGCGTGCAGGAGGGGGCCAATCAATGTTCTCTCTCATCGATGTTTCTCTCTCTCTCTCTCCCTCTCACTTCCTCTCTCTCTAAAATCAATAAAGGGAAGAAAAATTAAAAAACAAAAGAATTGTAATAGTTCTGTGAGGGTAAATGTTGTGAAAATGTGTTAATCAGTTATTTTTCTGCTAAACAAGAAATTCTTCAACTCCAGTTCTAATACAGTAACCAAATATAATGAGGTATATATATCTATATATCTATTGATGTTTTGTAGCAAAGGCAGGTAAAAGATATCCACAACTAATATTGTTTGGTTATTTGAATTTCTTAGCCAAAAGGATTTTTTTAAAAAAACAACTAAGCTGCTACCAAGGTGACTGATTTGAGTTCATTGCTATTCCACTTTGGTAAAAATGCTGATTTTCACAGTCAGTGGAAAGAAAATGGAGAAACAAAGGGCATGGTTGATACATATGCATGACTTACCCCCTGAATAACTAGGAGATGACTGTATAGAATGAGCTGGCTCTTTGACTCCATAAGATCCCTCAAAATATTGTTGTAAGGATAAAATGAAATGACATGTCAAAGTACAGCACTTTGAAAACTGAAAATCATTGGGCACATGCAAGTCATTACCAAGAAGGCCCTTTCTGGACGTGTTTATCTCTGTTGGGTTCTCTGCACGCTTTTTGCCCCCTCCTTCCCTTCCCTCCTTCCCTTCCCCCTCCCCTCCTCCTACCCTCCTCCCACCCCCACTGCTGAGACTGCTTGCAGCAGCAGAGCAGGGCTGAATCAGCCCATTTTCTTACTGTTTGCAGAGATGGTCACCTTACCACAGCTGTCCTTGCATTCTTCTTGTTCTTAGTCTCTGCATCCTTGGAGGAATTTTAAAACAATCTCGGGGCGTTCTGATTTGTTTCACTCAAATCTGCTCTGCTTCACTTTGCAAGATAGATTCTTCGTCCTGTTCTCCCTTCATTTCTCTTCTCTGAAACTGCGCATGTCCAGGGTAGATGTCCGCAGTGACCAGGGCAAGCTTCGTCGTCTCTTGCTGTCTGTGCCTCTTGCATAGTAAATCCTCAAAGAACGTGTCCATTGACTAGCTGCAGGAGAAACCATTGAGTTATAGATGACTTTTTCTCCTTCAGTATTTTTAAAAAATCAAGTGTTGATGTGCCCTGAATTTGGAAACGTTATTCAAGGACACAGGATTATCTGGCCTTCAATATAGGGTGGAGCAAAAGCAGGTTTACAGTTGTTCATATGGAAAATAACACAATAATTAATAAACAATTATACAGAAATAAATGCTGTGTTGTGTACTCACAAGTATAAACCTACCTTTGTTCACCCCTGTACTGCTGTTTCTTCTGTTAATGCAACAGGCAGAATATAAAGCTGCTGTGAGGTGGAGGAGAAGTGTTTATTTTGAAATACTCAGAAGTCTCTGTAGTCTATAGGCATCACATGAGTTTATCTGTTTTGTCATGTAAGAGATGATGAACGTGAGAAAGTAACTCTGAAGTGGAATCATCCAAAAGGAGTATTAAATGCCCAGATGTCATCATAGAGTACAGCAGGTGACATTCCCTGTAAGAGCCTAGATGGTGGGTCTATTTTCAGCTGTGTTTATTTGCTCCCACTTATGAGTGCTGATCTGGGGGGAACCATTCCCTGGTTTGTGAAGATGATTAATGTTTTCTCCTTCCACTTTTTTAAAGGAAATGGCTAAAATCCTTAATCACCCCAGAGTCTATGCTTTCCTGCACATACCAGTCCAGTCTGCCTCCGACACGGTTCTCATGGAAATGAAAAGAGAATACTGCGTGGCTGACTTCAGAAGAGTGGTGGATTTTCTGAAAGAGAAGTAAGTCTGTTAGCACTTAAGAAAATAACCATTTCTTTTTTTTTTTCTTTTTCTTTCAAAAGCATGTGGCAAATGCACTCATTGTAGCCACAATTAAAGGTGCCAGAGAAAAGGTGAGACTTTTGAAGCTTTCAAAGCCTTTGAGTTTTCTCAAGCACCTTGATGTGGGTTTTTTCTCTCTCTTGGGTCTATAGCCACCTTCCATCTGTACGCGATACGATGTTAATTTGTGTGGGATTGCCGGTAGTGTGCATTGTGATCGTTTTAATACCTCACCCAGTGGATGAAAACTGCTTTAAGTTTTTGCTCTGCTTAGAATCCCCTTCAGTGTGGCTTTTTAGAATTTGCAGTCTGGTTTTGACAAGGAGTTAGGCCACATCGTGTCACTGTAAAATCAATAATTTTCTTCTAAATGGCATTTCTTGAAGAATATCTGGAGCATCTTTGCTTTTGCACATTGTCCCCGTGGTTTACTTGAAGAATTGTGATTTATAAGGAGGTTTGGGGATTCTGTTTTTCAAATTCAAATTGTTATTGACCAAAATTAAGGCATTTTATGCAATCTCAGACATAACTGATAATTTTGTTTCCACAAAAAACACTTGCAGCCCGTAATTATATTCTTCGAAATCCTTCTCATCAGCAGCAAACACTGAAAGGCCTTCTGTGATTATACAAGGCAGGAAATCGCAGTGCTGGCCAAGGTCACGGGGCTCTCAAGTCTAGGGCAGTGTGCTCCGTCTGGGGCTCTGGCATTTATCTGGCATGTTTGTGGCGTGGGTCTTCCTACTTTCCATAATTTTGTACTTCTGTTGTTTTTCTTAATTAAGACAACTTTTTATTTCCATTTTCTTGTTTATAATTATGTACCTTTGTACCATGTATTTTATGGATATAATGGCTTTATACAAATTGTAAGCAATTATTTTTTCCACCGTCAATTAGTCACTTGTCCAGACTACATACAAATCTTTTAAAATCTTTTTCTTCTATTTACTTTCCCCTTCCTCCCTCATCTTTCCATTATGTGTCTTTCTAACCTTTTTTTTTTTTTTTTTTACCTTTAGGCATTTCTTGATTATTCTAACCACCAGAAATAAAGATACTTAGTGTACATTCACACAAATACAGCTAATTGTTTGAATATTCAAACCAGTGAACAAAGGAATATTTATTCTAGGTATATTAATTATGACCATTAAGTATATACAGCCTACAAGGTAGAGAATGGAATAATGACTGATCTCTACCCCCTCTGATACTTTCTGATCTTGAACAGAACTGAGGTCAAGGCTAAAGAATAAGGACTTTTATACTAGGTCTGTCTGTTGTTGGCCTGTATCCCTCTTCGATATTTATCCTTGTGTAAAAGAGTCCTTTTGGGCACCCTGGCACTAGTGAATTTAATGTTTTCAAAATTGAAGATAAGTCATTGCACCTGTGACATTTCTTGCCTCTTACTTACAAGAGCAGTAGCAAATAATGCGCACAATTCATACCTGTTGCACAATATTTTGCCAAGTGCAGACATGCATCCTGTTGTCAGAATAGACTAGAACACTTTCCTATGGTTGCATTCCTATGATTCAGTGAGGTTAAGGAATCAACACCTCTCTTTTACATCTATTTGGGTAAGTGCTGACTCAGTTGTTTGGAGAACTGCTGTGGCTACTGCACTGGGCAACAATTTCACAACAAGTTCTAGCCTCTTATGTTGCTCCAAAGATGGACCTGTTAAATTTGTTGCATCTTGAACAGTTTCAACAGCATCATGAGCTATATAGAGGTCAGTGGTGATCATGCCAAAGTGTTAGAAAATAGTCTCTTGTCTTTATTTGTGGGCTAAGCTCATTGTCTTCTTTGGATCCCGATTTACTCTGAGGTATCCATGTAGCTTTTCTTGAACCATTCTAAATGGCTGGAAGAGCCCAGAACCAAGTACTCTACCCAGGCATCTCTAGGATGTCCAGCAATAGATATCCCTGGAGAGGATATTGGAGATGCCTGGAGAAGACACCCATCCACCCACAGTTCAGTTTCAAGTGCTATGAATCACTGGAATTATAGAGTATGATTTAGTCGCTTAACATCTCTAAGAGAGTCTATTTGTTTTTTTAAAATCCTCACCAGAGGATACTTTTCCATTTATCTTCAGATAGAGTGTGAGGGAGAGAGAGAGAAACATTGATGTGAGAGACACATTGATTGGTTGCCTTCCGCACGACTCCGACCGGGACAGGGCCGAACTGCAACCCAGGTACATGCCCTTGACCGGAATCGAACCAGAGACTCTTTGGTCTGTGGGCTGATGCTCTACTGCTGAGCCAAACCGGCCAGTGCTGTGAGGGGTGTTGTTTGTTGTTTTTTGTTTTTTTAAATTCTGTATCATGTACATGCAGTGAGAGCAGAAGCAACCATGGTATACAATTTTACACTTAGTTGTAATTTTATCATTTATAAGATGTATTGAAAAACTGTAGCAGGCAGACAATAAAATATAACTGATATGTAGAGCTGATGACAGAAAAATTACTAGTACCCTCTGAGGAAAAGAATAAAGAAATCATATTATCACTGCTAATGTGCGACTCCTTGCATAGCTTTATACAGTCCATAAAATTGTGTGTGGTCCGGTCCACCCTATTGCTTGTAATGCACCCTCACTCCTGTGAAGACATGGTGATCCAGCTTTGCCACTAGTGAAAAAGTTCTTCTGTCCTCTCAGGGAAATGTGTCCATCCAGGGACTCATTTTCAGCCATAATGGACATTTAGAAATAAATGAATATTTTAAACAGAGCTCTGATCTGATTTTCTGCTGATTTCTTTCTATAAACACTACCACAGCTTTGTGCCAAGTAGATTAGTGCTTATTGGAAACACCCAAGTTTCAGGGGCTCGATGGAACCACTAACCTGGATAACTGATCCAGCACAGAGCTGTCTGTCCACTTTATTAAAATTCAGTACAATATTGTCATTCTTAGAAAAAGGATCTAGTACTCTAAGAGCCCTGCTTAATGCCTAACATGTATCACAAAGTGACCCTGACTTGCAGGGTGTGCGGGGTGCTGCCGGCCCCGCCTGGGCTTCAGCCCCTTTTCACTCACATCCTGTTGCCTTGGAAGCTTCTCCAGCCTTTTCTGTCATGAGCCCTTAACAAATAAGAGTCTCATTTATTTATTTTTCCAGCAGTGTGAGGCTTCTCAAATATTCATGTTATGAATTAGGGACGAGGTATTTTCTAATCTGTGTCCTCAAAAAACTCAATCTTTAAAACAACCTACAGCACTTAAGACTGAAATCCAAGCCATGGGAGTTTCCCTGAAGCCGCAGGCTTTCAAACTGCGAATTCAGCAGTATTCGCCGCGCCGGTTCTCAAACAGTGGAGGTGAAATCTTTTTAATTAATTTTCTTTATAGTTGAAATTGGCCCGAGTTATAACTGGGAGCAATATAAGTTTACATGTGAGCCAACTTGAAGCTGATTCATTATTCTCTTCGTTTGTTTGGAAGTTGGCAACTGTTATCATAACAGCAGCTGGGGTGCAGATAACCCAGCAGTGCTGGCACATGTCGGGCCTATGGGAATTTATTAAATCATGCAACCTGTGCAAAGGGAAGTGTCTGAATGACTCAGTACACTCATTTAAGACAGCAGGCCACGAGCAGACGATCAGATGACTGAAATCATCCTCTTCAGATGTATTAATCCGTTCGGAAAATTAACCAAGAAATTTGATGTTTTTATTGAAATGGATAAGGCGATTTCTGGAAATAGATCACAGGACTTTTAGGGCTATGGAAGAAAACTTCCTAACACAGAGCAAGAGGTGCAATTCTAGTTTTAGAAAGATCCGGGCTTTTATAATTTTTAATAAGTCCCTCACAAAATATTTCTTTAATTACCTGTCACTTAACTGCCTCTTCTGTTACCTTTTAAACATCTAACTGGGATAAAAGGAGTATAAAACTTGACTTGTTTGTTCTTATTTTCTTGCGTAACTTTTAAAAAGTTACTTCCCAGTGAGATGAGTTTTCACTTTGATATGGTCAGGATGATATAATTAGGGTTCCCAGGACTGTGGGGCCTTGGGTATAGACTTTATGTGTCCTCCTCATTGGAGCAGTATTGTATTTACACAACCACTCTCCAAAAGAAGCCAAATAGTCACATATTTTTAAAGTGACAGCATGCAGACTTCTCTCAAGTGTATGTTCTACTGCTAAGCAAAAGATCTGAGTTCCCAGGCTCACACAGGAACATGGGAAAACGATATGTAAGAATGACGAGAAATGAAACAGTTTATATATGTAGACCTAGCTGTTTACACAGATCATTTGGTTGGAAGTCCAGTGGCCTTTGGTTTGTGTGAACCTGACCTTAAACTTGAGAGGCAAGATCCACCTCCCTCACTCAGTAAATACACTGTGAATTCATGGCCACTGTGTTTCTGCCGTCAAGTACATAGATGAAAACAAAGCCACACCTCACTGTAGCATCTTTGTGTTGACTTTTGATTCCATGACGTTATCCATCTCAGATTTGCCATTATCCTTTGTTAAGGTACCCTATGCGGTGGATAGAATATTAACCTTTCAGCATTGTGGTGTCTGTCCCCACAACCCTGAGTGTATTCTACCCAGAGATTTCCTAGTGAAATGCCACAACCAATAACTGACGAGCAGTTGAGGGGCAAAGGGGAATCTCTTTGTGGGGAGAACAAACCAGAAGGGAGATAGCAGCCTTGAGAGGAAGTGCTGTCCTCTGATCTGTTCAGTGTAAACTCCGACGGTGAAGGGGCACCAGGGCACGGGGCCAGGGCACTCGGGCAGGATGATTTCGTTAAGTGAGTCACTGACTTATCTCATGTTGTCCAACCTATCTTATGACCTACTTTTCCAGTCTCTCTGCAAAGAAATGATGCCAACTCATTAATATCCTGAATTCTCTTTCTTCCTTTCATTAGTCCCAGTCATCCACGTGTCCGAGAACACAATCT